GAGAGAGTGAAATTTCTGACGTTTTGAGCCCCATATTGCCTATATTTGGTCTGTTTTGATTTCCGACCGTTTCGACCAAAACCGACGGTCGAAATTGAAAATTGTCAAAACATAGGCAATATGGTTCAACGTGTCAGAAATGTAATGAATATTTCTAAAATTATAATTTGCACTTTTTTTAAAACCGTCTTCTGCCGATTTTGGCCAGTTATGGTTTTTGGCGCCAAAATCCAAAAAACCAAATTTCGAAAAAATTTAATTTTCTATAAAAATTAGCAAACTCCCTTGAAACTATTATATTTCATTTTCAATGTCTCCGTAAAATTTCCGACATTTTGAGCTCCATATTGCCTATATTTGGTTCATTCTGATTTTCGACCGTTTTGACTGTGGTCGAAAATCAAAAGAGGCCAGTAGGTTCTGCCCCGGAGGGGCATAACTATTACATTTGAGTTTCTCATGAAATTTCCGTCATTTTGAACCCCATATTGCCTATATTTGGTTTACTTTGATTTTCGGCCGTTTCGACCGCGGTCGCAATAAAAAATTGACCAAATTTAGGTATTATGGAGCTCAAAACGTCAGGAATTTGATGAATACTCTGAAAATAGTGATTTCCAGTATTTCTTAGAGGCTAGGAGGACGAAAATCAATAGGACAGCACATTTGGTATGTCTGCGTCTTTTTTCCAATACTCTCTAGGGCTCTGCGGTGAGAGAGTATTGGAAAAGAGACGCAGACAATATGCGCTGTTCTATTGATTTTCGTCTTTTTGGCCATCCCCGTCCTCCTCTTCTCAATCAACCATCCCAAACACCATCTCGAATGGTTATCTCCTCCCTCTAAATCGAATATATCGATTTTTTGGGAATTTTCCAAAATTTCGATTAGGCTACGACCGCCTTCTGCATGGCGGTGTAGCCGATATTCTATTTTTGATTTTTTCTGGATATTCCTATTTATTTAATTGGCTTCTTCAAATCCCTAAAGGATTCTGGACCAGCTAAAAAGTGAGTTTATATTTTTTAATTGAAAATGAGTTATTTTTAAGCCGAGAACTGCCAAAATATCCAAATTCTAAATTATGTCAAAAATGGTCAAAATCTGTTTAACCCTATGTTTTAGCTGATTTTAAAGTGCATTTTTAGATTTCTCATGAAATTTCTGATATTTTGAGCCCAAACTCGACTAACTTTGGTTGATTTTTAAATTTGACCAAACCGACCGCGACGAGCCTCGCGGTCAAAAACGAAGTTGACCGAATTCGGTCGTGTTGGAGTTCAAAATGATGGAAACTTTTGGAGAAACGTGAAAATGTGCTCAAAGTTTCGTTTTAAAAACCAATTTTAGTCAAAATCGGCCTGAATCAGTTTCGACCGCCGTCGGCGGTCGAAACTCAAAATTGACCAAATATAGTCGATATGAGGCTCAAATAATCAGAAATGAAATGAAGACTTTGGTAATAATAATTTTCGCATACTTTTCACACAATTTCGGCCGGATTTTGGCATAAATGGTTTTTGGCGCCAAAGTTTGAAAATTCGAGAAAACTTTAGAATTTTCTCGAAAATTGATCAAGCTGTCCTGAAATTATCATTTTTTAGGTTCTCATGAAATTTCAGCCATTTTGAGCACCATAATGCCTATATTCGGTTTATTTTGATTTTCGACCATTTCGACCGCGGTCGAAAACCAAAGTTGACCAAATATGTGCAATATTGTGCTCAAAATGACGGAAAGTTTATGCAACATTCGAAAAACATATTTTCGAAATTCTTAAATTGAGCTTTTTTAAGTTTTCGCTGTCAACCGTAAACCAGACAACGAGACAGTTGCATCTTTGCTTGGAGAACTTGAATGTTGAACAAAAAACGAGTAAGTTCTTCCAACCGACTCGTACAAAATCACACATAAAATCATTTTCAGGTCAGACAAAGATTTAGGAATCGAATCGCTGGAGAACTTCCAAATGTTCGTTCTGAAGAAGAAGCAAAACCAATTTTAACGATTCCGAGCTGCTCCACCGTCTTCAATAGCTCAATTGACGTCAACAATCAACATTCAACCAACTGTAAAATGCCTGCCAAGGATGATTTCGCCCATTCATTCGAACTGGCTCCAATTAAGCCAAGAGGAGAGGCGTTCAACTTTGTAAATATACTATACTTTTTTTTACACTTCGAAATTTAAAATGTGACAAAAAAGGTCAATATTGGGCTTTCTGATTGAAAATCTTGAAAAGTCTATTTAGCCTCAGATTTCTCACTAAATTTCCAACATTTTGAGCCCCATATCGACAATATTTGGCTAATTTTGATTTTCGACCGCTTCGACCACGGACGTGCGGTCGAAAATTAAACTAGTCCAAATATAGGCAATATGGGGCTCAAAATAATTGAAATTTTATGAGAAATTCAAAAATAGCAATTTCCACTGTTTTCAGCCCAGTTTCGCCGGAAGTTCGGCATTTACGGTTTTTGGCGCCAAAAATCCAGAATTCAAAAAAATCGTAAATTTTTTCCAAAAAAAGATCCAATTGCCTGAAATTATTATTTTCAAGTTTCCCATGAATTTTCTGATGTTTTGAGCCTCATCTTGCCTATAGCTGGTCAACTTCCATTTTCGACCGTTTCGCCCACGGTCGAAAATCAAAAGAGGCCAGTAGGTTCAGCCCCGGAGGGGCATAACTATTACATTTGAGTTTCTCATGAAATTTCCGCCATTTTGAACCCCATATTGCCTATATTTGGTTTACTTTGATTTTCGGCCGTTTCGACCGCGGTCGCAATACAAAATTGACCAAATTTAGGTATTATGGGGCTCAAAACGTCAGGAATTTGATGAATACTGTGAAAATAGTGATTTCCACTAGTTTTTCCATCTTGCCTATAGCTGGGCAACTTCCATTTTCGACCGTTTCGCCCACGGTCGAAAATCAAAGGAGACGTAAGCTGACTGGTATTGCCTATATATTTCGTCAAATTTTCAGGAACTTTCGAGAGACGAGATTCGATCACGGAATGCAGGTTTCCGAGCTGTAATTGTGGAGAAGTGGATGGCCAGTCTTGTGGAACATCGTCGTGTCCTTGTGTACACGTGTTCAAGAACGGACGGCACTTCTGAGAATGCGCCATGGCATGATCGCCAAACTGGGGAAAGACCAAGGTGGGTGAAAAAACGCGCTTATCAATTTCATTATCAATTTATCAATCATTTTTCAGGAGGAGTATCGCGACGTCATCGACGAATACAGGCTCAATGAACATCTGGATTCTTCAAATGCATTCTTTTCAATATTTAATAAACAATTTTATGGAACTTTTTCAAAACTCAAATTGGCCCAAAACTATCATTTTTGAGGTCCACACAAAAATACAAAAATTTTAACCTCAAAAAGAATTGAACTTTTGACCTTGTGGACCTTTTTAATGCCAAAACCCACTGAGCCATTTGGCACACTTTTTTGAAAATTGTAGTTTATAGGGGGTTTTGGACCGTTTTAGGGCTAAAAAATAGAGTTTTAAACAGAATTGTCAAAACATGCAGTTTTCCAGACGATTTTTTGATTTTTTTTGTGATTTTTTTGTGTTAGGTGGTCAGCCACCACACGCCCCAGCTGTCACACCTGGTTCTTCACTCCCGGCCATAAAAAGTATGTTGGAAAAAGTAAAAAGTGTTCTCTAATGCTGCGTGGCGGGCAACCAGGTGTCCCAGCTGGGCCAAAAGAGAGAGAGAGTATTGAAAAGGAAGAGACGCAACGTAAAATGCCCCTCCGATCCCCCTAGCCTCATTCAATCACCCCAACACCATCTCGGATGGTTGTCTCACCGCCCTAGAATAGAATATATCGATTTTTTGGAAATTTTACATATAAAATTCCCAAAATTTCGATTAGGCTACGATTGCCTTGTGCATGGCGGTCCAGCCGATATTCTATTTTGTATTTTTCCTGAAATTCTCTGTATTTATTTTATTGGATTCTATAAATCCTAAATGGATTCTCGACCAGAAGGAAAATGTGAGTTTTTCTAGTTTTTTTTAAATGAGAAATGTGTTAGTTTTAATCCTAAATTGCTTTTAAATAAGCGCTAAAAGTGGTCAATGTTGAATTTCTAGCGTTTTTAGACTAGTAAAAGCTATTGAGAAACAGATTTTTCGCTGATTTTTAAGAAAATTTTCAAAATTCTCATGAAATCTCCGACATTTTGAAACTCGATTATTTTTGGTTGATTTTCAATTTTCGACTGGCCGACCGCGACGCTCCTATCACGTGTCGCGGTCGAAAATCAAAGGTGATCAAATATAGTCATAATTAGACTAAAAATGACGGAAATTTTATGAGAAACTCGGAAATGATACTTTCAGACAGTTTGGTCTTTTTTTGAGAAAGATTTGTGGTTCCCATGTGGATTTTTCGAAAGGAGACTTGGTCCCAGAAGTCATCGTCAAGACAAATGGAACATGGAGCGCATCACCAATTTCCGAGGACGATGTTGGAGATTACATCCTGAACGTTAGTTGAATCTTTAATATAGTTTAAAACAAAACAATTTATTGTCTATTCAAAATAATCGCGCGGTTGAACGAGTAAAAAAAACGTGTAGAGAATCTCCAAACCTGTAGAGGCGCTGTAGAGACGCAGACATTTTTACTCTTTCACCCGCGCGATTATTTTGAATAGACAATATTCATTTTTTCAGTACCGCCCACGACCACATAATACGTCCAGCGCTATTCTTCTCCACGTGATCAAAAACGAAACTAACTGGAGTTCCAGACCGGAGCTGCAAAAGATATTGTTTAAAATTTCATATTTAATAAACAATTTTATGGAACTTTTTCAAAATTCAAATTGGCCCAAAACTATCATTTTTGAGGTCCACACAAAAATACAAAAGTTTTAACCCCGGAAAGAATTGAACTTTTCACCTTGTGGACCTTTTTGATGCCAAAACCCACTGAGCCATTTTTCACACTTTTTTGAAAATTGCCATTTTTAGTGGTTTTGGACCGTTTTAGGGCTAAAAAATAGAGTTTGCCGTTGTTTTCACACTCAGAATTGTTGAAAAATGCAGTTTTTCAGTTGATTTTTGGTTTTTTGGGATGTTTTTGTGTTAGGTCGTCAACCACCACACGCCCCAGCTGTGACACCTGGTTCTCCAAACCTCGGCCTTGGAGAGTATTGAAAAAAATGTTTTTCAATACTCTCTAAGACCATGTGGCGGGGAGCCAGGTGTCCCAGCTGGGCCAAAAGAGAGAGAGAGTATTGAAAAGCAAGAGACGCAACGTAAAATGCCCCTCCGATCCCCCTAGCCTCATTCAATCACCCCAACACCATCTCGGATGGTTGTCTCACCGCCCTAGAATAGAATATATCGATTTTTTGGAAATTTTACATATAAAATTCCCAAAATTTCGATTAGGCTACGACTGTCTTGTGCATGGCGGTCTAGCCGATATTCTATTTTGTATTTTTCCTGAAATTCTCTTTATTTAATCTATTGGATTCTATAAATCCTAAATGGATTTTGGACCAGAAGAGAAAGTAAGTTTTTCTAGTTTTTTTACTGACAAAAATGGGTTACTTTAAGCCTAAAATATCCAAAAATTCCAAATCAAGAATGGTCAAAATCTGCTTAGACTTATATTTTTGCAGATTTTCAAGTAGATTTTCTGAATTCCTTTAAAAATTCCCTTGTTTTGAGCCTAAACTCGATCGTTTTTGGTTGACTTTCAATTTTCGACCGGCTGACCGCGCGGTCGAAAATCAGAGGTGACCAAAATAGGTCGTGTTAGGGCTCAAAACGTGGCAAATTTCATGACAAACTCAAAAAAAGAATTTCAAGCAGTTTGGTAATTTTTTGCGAAAAATTTGTTAACAAATTAAATTTTGGTTTTTTGGCGCCAGGAACCACGAGTGCCCAAATTTGGTAAAATTAGATTAAAACAGTGAGTATTATAATTTTCGAAGTCTCTATCAAATTTCTGAAGTTTTGAACCCCATATCGACCACATTTGGTGTAGTTTGATTTTCGACCACGCGGCAGCGGTCGACACGGTCGAAAATCAAAATCGACCAAATATAGGCAATATGGGGTTCAAAACGTCAGAAATTTCAAGACAAACTCAAAAATAGTAGTTTCAGAGCAGTTTAATTATTAATAGAGTTTTTATTTGAAGAATTTTCTCTTTTTTTCAGGTTTTTATGTTAGAAATCATTGTCCACAATCATCAATGAGACGTGAACAGCCGCTTTTCTTTATGCTGAAGATTGATGGAAACTCTCAAGAGCCAAAAACGCGGTGTTGCAATCCAAATGAAAGAAATTGGTCAGTCAAATCAAAAATTGCCAAAAAGACCAAATTTTAAAAAAACCAAATTTTTTTCAGAAACAGGCAAAACTGTATTGTGAACATATTTTTCTGAATTTGCCCTGAAAGTTCCGTCATTTTGAGCCCCATATTACCTATATTCGGTTTGTTCTGATTTTCAACCATTTCGACCGCCGCCAGCGGTCGAAAATCGAAATTGACCAACTTTAGGCAATATGGGGCTCAAAATGTCGCAAATTTTATGAGAAATATAAAAATAAGTGTTTTAACTTATAAAAAATGAGTGATTTCCAGATGGCCACGAAAATCACCTCGCAACGAAGTTGGACACTACCACTGCAAGTCCATCGCCATGGCTCCCAATTGTCTTCCCATCGACAAACACTGTGAAGTCAGCAGGTAACAAAATTAACTAATAAAAAAACACATTTTTCTTATAGAAACCACAGTCATCCCAATCGCAAGAGCCGAAGTTGAAAAGAGCGTCCAGGGATCTGCCAACACCTATCTTATCCCTCGTTGGAGCGAGTGTCGCATTCATGCTTATTATCTTCGTCGGAGCGTTTTTCTACTGCCGTCATTGAAACGGAAAATGCATTTTTCTTCTTTTCAAATAATCCCCCCTATTTTCCCCTTCAATGCTATCCTGTGACTCCTTCCCTTCCTTTTTTTGCACTTGAATTCCCCCTCAAAACTCTAAAAACCCGAAAAATATTATTTTTTCATTCTTTTCCTGTTCGACCTTTTTTTTGTTTATTTCTTCTCCTCACTCTCCAAATACCTCAAAATTAAATTACTGTACAACTAAATAAAATCACCATCCGTTACAAGAAGGTATTCCATAATGGTATCCACTGGAGAAATCTTGACAAACCAGACAAAGTTCTTTGTTTTCCATGAAGTGAAGGATGCTGAAAAAATGAAAAAAATAGAACGGAAAGAAAAGGAAAAAAGAGGAAAAAGAGCAGGCTAGAAAGCTAGAATGGTTTCTAAATGATACTGAAACTCGGAATTTTTAAATAAACAAAATTGACTGATCAAAGTCTACTATTCTTCCATAAATTCAGATTATATAAAGTACACAGTCAACATTATTTCCATACGGAAAGTTTCCGCCCAGCGTGTACCCGAAGAAAGTCTGCTAGAAATAACACATGGCGATTGACAGAGAAAACGAAAGGGAAGAGGTGACAATCATTGGACAGAAAGTGAACTGTGATCATGTTCTCCTGTCTCTTGCCCCACACGTGTTTCTTATCGGTCCAGCGAACCAAACATCGATATGGGATAATAATCGGGTGCAGGAGGACTGTGTGTTCGTTTTTGTCTTATCTAGATCCAGAAGATATAAGAAAAGATATTAGAAAGACCAAGTCCAAAAATGGACTACGTTGTAGAGTTTTTTATTAATATTTTTCCGGATTTCTTGCACTTAATACATTTCCGGAATAAAAATGTCGTACATTCAACAGATGAAAAGTCTTGCAAAACTATTTATTACAAATTCAGCAATCACATCTCATTTGCAACATTTTATTACCGTTAACACTCTAATAAAAAGGTCCTCTAACATTTAACTTTGAGCCAATTTACCTCGGTTCCTGTCAAAAATAAAATAACTGATAATTGTTTATCATAATAATAATAATGATAATTGTTTATCATAATAATAATAATAATAATAATAACTTCCTAGTTGACATATTTTTGATATCTTGCACATAAATTGAGATAATTGAGCTCAACGTTGACTGTATGGGTAGGTTTCTATTCGAGGAAATACGATAATTATATCCCGTAAAATAAATGATATACAGAAAACTACAAAATAATTATTCTTCTTCTGAATTCCTTTCCCCGAAAAACAGTTCCTTTGCGAAGCTGGTATATCCGATATTCTCAAAGAAGTCAGCTATCCAAACAGCTTGAACGGCTGAACGGCTTAATGTTTCTCGCACGCTGTTGTGATTTTCGTGAGACGCAACAACCTTGACAAGTGATTAATCAGCTCAAACTTGATCAAATAGTTTGAAACTATATCAGTTTAGAAATGAATAATTTAAATTTTAGCACTTCAAATTTGAGGCCAGTACAACGATTCAACCAAACTTTATGCTAGTACAAACTTTGGTCCGGGTAAATATGGACCACCCTTGAAGTATAACTTCCGGTTTTTGAAGATTCTAGCACGATTTCAGTTAACTGTCACACTCAGGATACAAAAAATTATAAAAGGTTTCATAAAAGAAAAGTTTGCAGGATGTGACTAACAATAAGTAAATGAACCTCCTTGTCCTAATTCATGGGAAACCCCTCCCTGGTTCTCCAAAATTAAAAACACTGATTGCTTAAAGTCCTGATACAGGATGGTTCATAAAAAGTTCAAACAGAAAATCTATTAAAATTTCTATTTAGTTGACGGTATTGTTGAAGCTGAAATCGTCCCTCGGCGTAGATTTTTTGGTCCAGCAATGACGGGAATGGTTGAAGAGTTTTGGATTGTCTTCTTGATGAAGGATAGCCTTTCGTTGAACATTACCATTACAAACCTTGAAAAAAAAGTTTTTTTAGAAGCCAGCAGAAATGTTCATTACTCACCCATCAGTAGAATGCAAGAGCTCCCAAATAAAAGTTCCACTGACATATCTCCATACACGATGATCACTCCAAGAACTCAATCTGAATGTGAAAGTAAGATCGATAAGATAAAGGGAGTCTTGGAGCATCGTTTGTAAGAAATGAATGGTGTTCTTCCTCATTCGCTTTTTGGTTTCCTTGTCCTGATTAGCATTTCTTTTCTGAAATAATTTTTGTTTTGGTAGACTGTGATAACTAGAAAATACCCTATAAAAATGGAGAATTTTGACAAAAGTGATTGTATTGAGAATTGACATGGCTATGAAAGTATAGAAAATAATGTCGAGAGCATCATCCACAAAATCGCACTGTTCAGAATCATCATAAGACCAAGCGAGGTTTTTTATAGAATAGAGAGCATGACACCCTTTATCTGAAAATATGAATTATTTTTTCGTTACTTGGATGTTTCCAATCTACTAGATTGAGGTATCCATTCTATAATTTTCTTGCCGATCCGATAGACATAAATAGCAATTAATACGATAGTTGTATGTAGGATAGAGAATATTTTGGAGTATTTCATAGGAAAAAATAAAGCACAGCATCTGTTAAGAGCAACTAACACAATTTGATACTCATTTCCAAGATACAAGGTGTTGGCGATATTGATGATCCAGGATTCGACAACTGGTGGGTATGGAGAATGTCCTCTGAAATATGTTTTAAAACTCAACAGGGATGATTTTTTTTGAGTAACGTACAAAAGAGTTTTGGGGAAAAATGTGATGACAAAGATTATTGTCAAAATGATAACGTTTGAAATTGCGCGACAGAAACAAATGAGATTGAAAGCAGTCTTTTCAGAATTTTCCTTGAGGTAAATGTACACAATAGAGGCATTATAAATGATCCCTAACACACCAATCTGAATGAACGAATTCAATATCTTGAGCACCAGCTGAAATTGCTTACCGTAATGATTAGCATAGCAACAACTAAATTCAAAGGATTGGTGTAATTGAACTCTTCTTCCATGATTTGGCTGAAAGAAGTATCTGAAAAAAGAATACGTGAAAACGGAAAAGTGCTTCTGAATTGGAAAGTGGAAGAACGAGAGGTCTATCCCATGGCATTCAAAAACTGTTTTTTCTGACGTGAAATCGTGTGAAAACCTAATTATCTGCCAGAAAAACTCATTGTCTTGAAGGAAAGAAACAATAAAATAAACTTGATTTCCTGATACTTACCGGTCTGAAGGAGTCAAGTGGAAACCAACCAGAAAAATGTGATATGCAAACGGAAGATACCCGGGAGAGTTGATAATTGGCTTAGAAGGTGATAAAATCAAACTATTTTCATGGATAGGCTCGAAAAAAAGAGAAAAAAATGTTGTTTACTGATTTGATAAAAACTCTGAGTAATCGTTGGTCATGAGGAGAATAAGATATCAGCCGGACATCGGCTGAAATTGGAGGTTGTGAAAAATGCCGTGCATAAATGGAATTTGAAGTAGAGATTTAGACAGAGTCCATTTAGGCAACATTTTTCGGTTTTATAGTTTGGTGGAATTTTTTTTTCATATAATTTTTTTTCTTTTCTAGTCCAGAAGAATGTTGAATCCCAATCACTTTGACACCTGGAAATGTTACTTCTGCAGTAGTACAGCTGCTGTAACTGAACTGTTTTTAGGAAAATAAACCAAATACCTTTCATATTTACCGTAAAAACTCAATTAGATAGCAACCCCTAATTGAATGCCAGCCTCTAATATAATGCCATTGCTGATTCAATATCACTGTGGTAAGAGTAAAGCAAGTTAATAACACAAAACACATGTTCTGTTGGTATAAAATATAAAAACCAAATGGTTGTCATCTTAACATAATAAAGTCTATTCAGAATAAGTTTTATCCAACAGTTGACAAGATAGTTGAAGCCATGTTTTGTCTTGCTGATTGAACGTTTGTGACAGAAGATGCTGGTTGAATTCGTTTCTTGAGAAAACTGAGACGCTCGTTAAACATCATCATTATGAATCTGAATTCAACTGACACTTTGAACCGGGTTTAAACAGAATTACCCATCAACAGAATGTATGCATTCCCAAACGAGCGTTCCACTTATAAACGTCCAGAAACGATGAGTGCTCAATCCGCTAAACGTTGAAATCATATTTTTTTCTAACCGGTTTTCTAATTACCTTAATTTAAAAGTGAATGTGAGATCGATCAAATATAATGAATCTTGGAGCATCGTTTGAAAAAACAGTATAATGTTTCTCTTCATTTTTCTCCTAGCTTCTTTGTCCATAATACTTCCGTTATTTCTCGTCTGAAAACTCATTAAAATGACGAATTTTTCTACTATGTGTTACCCAGTAAAATGTGATAATTTTTGTAAAAGTGGCAGCATTTATGGCGGTCATTATAATGAATGTATACAAAATCACTTCCAGAATATTGTCTTCAAATTTACAAAAGGTCTTTTGATCGTAAATCCATAAGAGAAGTTCATTGGAAAATGATGTGAAACAGTTATCAAGAGTTCGCGGAACCTGTTCATAGACGACTATGATCAATCGATACAGATAAATCAAAATCAGAATAACGAGAGTTGGTATGATACCACACAATAATTAGTAGTAGGTTGGGAGAAACAATGCACAGCATCTGTTTAGAGCTACGAGGATAACCTGGTATTCATTCCCTAAATATAATGTCAAACTAAGATGAATCAGCCCGGATTCCACAGCAGGTGGGAAAAGGGAAAATCCTCTGAAACCCAGAAACATATTGTATCTAGCTGGTGAAGTTTCTAATGAATTTTCGACAACTTACGCCATGAGTTGCGAAAAATACAAGCAAAAACGTTGCTGATAGTATAATAACATTGGAAACTGCTCGAAATACACAAATCAAATTGAAAGCAGTTCTCTCTGACTTTTCTTTGTAAAAAATCAGTGCAATGGACAAATTCGTTGTAACTCCAAAAACACCGAACTGAAGAAAGATTTTTTACAAATCTAGAATGATGAAACTTACTGTAAGGATAAGAGTAGCCGCCAATAAACTCAACTCATCGTTAAAAGCGCTAACTTCTACCAAAGATCCAACAGCAGAAGCATTGGAGGTCATTTTCTTAGTTCAAGGTAAAAATAACTGAGTTTTTGGAAAGTTAAAGTTTTCAGTTTAAAATTATATATTCCAGAATTCGTCATCGTTATTTAGAGTTAGAAAGATCATCTCATGTGCCAAGATTGATGTTTTGGTTTTGAAATAAAAGTGAGAACATGAAAGCTCAGCGATCAAACTATGATAAATTTGTGAAGCCTACAGTATACTATAGGCTGTTACCAAACGAAAATATAAGTGTTTGCAGTTTGCAGTTTGAAAGTGTAATTTTAAAAAATGCTTACATTTTAGGTTTGAAATTAAGAACTAGGAACTATTTCTTGATATTTAAAATCAAACTTTCAGAAACTATAGTTAAATTTTTTATAATCAACAAAACAAAAAAAAATGAAAGACTATGGTTGAGATCTTAACAGAAAAAAAATAATTTCAAAAATCAATTATCACCAAAGAACAGTTCCTTCGCAAAAGAGGTGAATCCAATATTCTCAAAGAAGTCAGCTATCCAAACAGCTTCTTTCGACTCACATGCCATTTTAGACATTGTTGTTCCCATCAGAATCAATCTTCCAAATCTAGAACGTTCCAAATTAATTTCATGTTTTGCTTCTAGTGACACATCCGCATCTGACAAAAAAAATCAAAAACAAATGTGAAAATAATAAATCAGAGTTACCTGGATTCAGAAAAGTGATAGCTTTAAATGCGGCAAACTCGTTGAAATTGATCTCCATCTCTCGAAACGGTTTCAGCACCAAATCCAACACTTGATATTTCTTTCGATTCAGACCGGCAGGCCTAAATAGAGGTTTCATTCCAGTAATGACAGTCGATAGAATAAGATCTCACCTTGTTGGCTCATGAGTTCGATCGTAATATGTACCATCTGGGAAGACTACTGTATCGAGGCCATGATCTGGGGAATTGTAAACTTGATTGAGGACTGGTATCACGATAGCAGCGTGGCGAACCAACTCTGCCTAAAAGAAGGAAATTGATATGATAGGGAAGAACCGCCCAGGTTACGGTAGCAATGAAGTTCACAAAATGATCGTTCAATCGTCCATTTCTTGATCAAATTATAGCAGCCGTAGAACCTGTATTAGAAGAGCCGGCTTTTCTATTGTTCCAATAGAAAAGCCGGTGGCCCTAATATTACAGGGGTCTCTTATTTTTGTAGTAATTTTCTCCAATATTTTTCGGCGAGAATTTCCATGAACGTTTGTTCAAAATTCATGAAAATCTATCAGCAGTTCCATTAAAATTCAGCAAGTTTTTTTTTCAGGAAAACATGTTACAACAAATTTCTGTGAAATTGCCAAATTTCTTAAATGTTTTTCATTGAAAACGTATTGAAACTTTTAATTTGAAACAAAACATTTTGAGCAAAAAGTCTCTTTTACTAGAGGTCTATTAAAGGGTACATTCTAATACAGGTTCTACAGTATTCTTTTTCGTGCCGTTTACAGTACTGAGAAATACCATTTTTGACAAAAGAAACTCTAATGAAGCTTTTATGTATCTCAACTGAATCTCTTGGCTTTTTTCTTAATTTTACAGTTGCCTTAAATAATTTTTTTAACAATTTCGATTATCCAAACTTAAAAAAACTCACTTTATCATGGTACGACATGTTCTGGAAAGTTTTGAATGTTTTTGCGTATTCGGTTAATACAAACCAATCTCTTTCGTGCCAGTAGTGGTAATCGTCTTGAGTTATAAACCGCAATTCCTTGTAAAAGTGACGAGAGCTCTGAAGGATTCTGGATCTAGAAGTTCTCATTGTTTAAGAACTTACCAAAGTTGCATGTTGATTCATGAAAATGGGATCATTCAGGAGAGATTTGGAGCAAAGAGCTTGTTTCAGACTCCGCTTTGGGAGATAGGCAGAGAGGCGAAGCTCGTTAGCTCTGAAATTTTTTTTTGTATGAAATTGAAACAATTTTTTAAAAACTTACGATTTCTCCTTGACTGCAAGTAGACTCAGCGTATTCTCGAAAGTTCGGACTGGTGAAATTTGTCTTTCTGGTGACCCATTGTTGAATTCATCACTATTTATACTATTTGCTGGCTGGAATTCTGGCTTCTTTGTTCGTTTTGTTCCGTCACTCATCGATATATTATAAAACTACGAAAATTACACTACTTCTGTGTTATTCTAAAAGAACACTGTTCTAAACAATCACATTTGAGTTTCTCATGAAATTTCCGTCATTTTGAACCCCATATTGCCTATATTTGGTTTACTTTGATTTTTGGCCGTTTCGACCACAGACGTGCGGTCGAAAATTAAACTAGTCCAAATATAGACGATATGGGGCTCAAAATAATTGAATATTTATGAAAAATTCAAAAATAGCAATTTCCACTGTTTTCAGCCCAGTTTCGGCGGAAATTCGGCATTTACGGTTTTTGGCGCCAAAAATCCAGAATTCAAAAAAATCTTAAACTTTATCAAAAAAAGATCCAACTTCCTGATATTATTATTTTCAAGTTTTCCATGAATTTTCTGATGTTTTGAGTCTCATCTTGCCTATAGCTGGTCAACTTCCATTTTCGACCGTTTCGCCCACGGTCGAAAATCAAAAGAGGCCAGTAGGTTCAGCCCCGGAGGGGCATAACTATTACATTTGAGTTTCTCATGAAATTTCCGTCATTTTGAACCCCATATTGCCTATATTTGGTTTACTTTGATTTTCGGCCGTTTCGACCGCGGTCGCAATACAAAATTGACCAAATTTAGGTATTATGGAGCTCAAAACGTCAGGAATTTGATGAATACTCTGAAAATAGTGATTTCCAGTATTTCTTAGAGGCTAGGAGCACGAAAATCAATAGGAGAGCACATTTGGTATGTCTGTGTCTCTTTTTCCAATACTCTATTTTTGGTGCCAAAAAGCATTTATGCCAAAATCCGGTCAAAATCTAGTTA